AGCCTCTATTCTCTTTCTTAGGCTCTTTCCTATATCTGGAATACCAGTCACTAAAATCCAAGTTTCTGCTGTTAATTCTGGGAAGTCTTCACTGAGACCTTTGGCTTATAAATGTTTTCCCTCAGACCTCATGAATTATTTTCTTTCGCAACTCTCTAATGTAGTTATCACAATAACATCTATCATGTTATCTTTCTTTTTTGTCTAATTCTCCTAATAAGTTCACAACTTCTATGGGACCTTGTCTTTTTAAAAATTTCTACATCCACCAGGACAACAGTCCCTGGCTAAAGAATTGCTCAATGATTTATTTTCATTCTCAGATATTAGATTATAGGGTTAAGTATTTATTTACATCACTTATTTGGAATCAATAAAACTGTCTCTGTGTGACTTCCATGAGTCTGTGATTGAAAAACCTGCAAAAAGCTCATTGGCAAGAGGTAGCCATTTTCAACCTGCGTGTATCCACAGAAGGAAAATACAGCTACACACACTAGAAATAGGCAAAGAATTATTGGAATTGCTTCCCTGGTGGATTCTGGCTCTGTTTTCTTCCACCTAATAGTTCCTTTAATATAGGAATAGTATTCCTAACCTATTCATCTCAGTGGAGCCATTAAACTACTAAATGGGCAGTACAGTGATAAGGCTGGCCCAAAGAACAAAGGGAAGTATGTCTGATCATTTGGTATTATACTAACTTACCTTAAGGAACATTAACAATCCCTAATATTTGCTTGTTTCAATAAACAAAATTCTGTGAAAATACTTCATATCTCTCTTTCATACCTAGGTTTTTCTGCCCAAAGTAGATTATTCCAAGAGATATAGTCATCCTATTCAAAGGTTTTGTTAGATACTGAGAGAGTTTTGTAACTGAAAACTGTAACAAGAACAATTTGCAAACACTGGACAGAATATGCAGATAACTCTTAGTTCTGTATCAAATTACTGGACCATGGAAGATTCAGCTATGAAAGGGGAGACAGAGAAAGACAGAGAGAGAGAGAGAGACAGAGAGGGAGAGAGAAAGAAGAGAAGAGAAGAGAAGAGAAGAGAAGAGAAGAGAAGAGAAGAG